AATGTCTGTTTTTCTAGGGATTTTTGAGTTATAAAAGCACCTGTAATTGAATAAATGTAAAGTAGAGCAGTTTAATGTCACACTGTGGAACATTCCAGACAGAGCAATGACATCTCCATAGAAACAAGCAGGTGAAGGACCTCCGAAAAAAAGGTTACATAGTGCAGCTTTAAGAGACAGAAGTATAAAGGGAGAGAGAGAGAAAAGGAGAAGAGGGAGGAGAGAGAAGAACTGATACACTGAAAAAATAAATAAATAAATAAACACTTCTGTGGTTGGTAAAAAAGATTATATCAACTGGAGACATTTTTGGGTCCAGTCAAGTGGTAATGGAGGGAAACAGGGGCAGATTTTTGACATTCAAATGTCTCTTATTCAGAAACTAGAGGAACTATTGAAATAAGTAAAGTATCAGAATGTAGGAAAGAGTTACACTCCAACAGGGTCAAGTTAAACCTGTGATATTCTTTCAAGTTGTTGACAAAAAATTAAAAAAACTCATGTTGGTAACGGAGGGAATGAAATATGCAGCACTTTTTGGTCAATAAATCCAAACAGTGATAACTCTTGGTTCTCACTTCCATATCCTTAACAAACTGGTTTGAATATTTGCTTCATATAGTTTTCTACCATATGGTACAAGATTAGGTTGAAAAACCTCTTACTTTTTGACTCATGAGATTTTTTATTAAGAAAGGTCATGGTAACGGAGGGAAAAGTAACGGAGGGAAAATTGTTCAAAACAAGTAGAAGGTGCAGGATTTTACATCATTTGTCAACTTTTTCTTCCAAATACTTTAATATTACTTCAAAATGAAAGGAAACTATTTCTATAAAATATGTCAGTCCTTCCAAGCAAATTTTTATCATTTTAAATACTTTTTTTTTTTTTTTTTATTCTGTACCTTCATCAACAGTTCAAAAGGTCAACAGTTTCATAAACTAGAGTACATATGTATCTGTTCAATACATTTTTATATCAGATGCATTAACTGGAATTTGTGGCCTTGTTGTTTACTTCTGCTTGACTGGGCCCTAATACATTAAAATGACATAAGAACTACAACTTATTTAATAACAATGGACAAAATGTACTGATTGTACTCATGTAGTTGAAGTACTTCAGTCACTACTCACAAACCTACAAACTACTAAGTAACACCAACGTCCTTCTAGATCAATCCCTGCACTCTTCGACTACAGATCTGAGGCTGGGACGGATCTAGCTCATAAAAAACAAAACTAAACAAAACAAAAAAAAAGATCTGGGGCTGTAGGTGGTAGAAGATGTGTCCACTGATCCGAAGGTTGGTGGTTCAAATCCTCTCATCATTAAAAAAAAAAAAAATAAAAAAAAAAAGGAAAAAGAATCATGTTTGAGCGGTGTGATTCCAGCTGTGAATGCTGTTGTTGTGTCCTTGGGCAAGACACTTAACCCACCTCACCCCCAGTGTCTGTGTGCACTGGTGTGTGTGTGTGTGTGTGCGTGTGCGTGTGTGTGTGACTGGTTCCTTGTAAAGCGCTGTATAAAAAAGCTCCATTTATTCAACATCAGTAAATTATTTTATCACCACAATGCAATTCATTATGAGAATATTTTATATATTTTACTGAATTTATTTGCACGAATATGACTTCTAACTCTAACTAAAAAATGAGTAACAATGACGGAGTAAATTGATGAGTGTTAATGTTGGAGGTGAGTACATCTGACTTTATACTGACAGGTCAATTATACCTGATATTACAGCAGGAAAATGGACTTAAAAAGTGCGAGTGCAAATTGTTACGAGGATTTTTTCCAGTAATTCTTGTGCACTGGGGTGATGAGCGTTCGAACTGGAGAGAACGGAAAGAAGAGGAAAAGAGGAAGAGACGAGAGGGAGAGAAAAAAGGTGGAGAAAGAGGGTGAGGGGTAAACCCACATCGGAGAAACGAAACAGGAAGAGGAGGAGGAGGAACGAGGAGCCAGGTCCTGAGAGAGCGGAGAGAAAGGAAAGAAAGAGAAGATGGAGAGATAGAGAGAAGAAGGAGAGAAGAGGAGAGCAGATGGACACCGAGCCCAGAGCGGAGAGCTGATACTGGGAGGAAAAACCCCTGAGCTGTGGAAGGGAGGAGGAGAGAAGAGAGAGAGGGAAAAAAATGAAGAGATAGAGAAAGGAGGAGGAGAGAGAAGACAAGCCCAGAAAGGAGTGACAATACTGAGAACGAAGAGAACGTGAACTCAGGGAGAGAGGAGGGAGGAAGGGAGAGAAAAATAGCGAGATAGAGAAGAGAGGAACCAAGTTTTTTTCTTTCTTTCTTCTTTTTCTTTTCTCTTTATTTTTTTTTCTTTCTTTCTTTTATTTGCTGAATTGCAGAAGATTGAAAAAAAGAAAAAAGAGACGTGACTAAACCAGAACTAGAACAGAACCAAACCATGAATGAAGTAGAACCAAAACTGGACCACACCAGAACTAAACCCAAATTATAACAACTAAACCAGGACTCAAACCAGGACTAAACCAGCACTAAACCAGGACCAAACCAGGACCAAACCAGGACTAAACCAGGACTAAACCAGGACCAAACCAGAACTAGACCAGGACCAACCGCAAAAGCCCGGACTCACTTGTATCAGTCACAGTCTCGTCGTGCAGCTGTGACAAAGACTGAGGAGAGTGCACGTGAGAGCGAGCGTGCACGTGTGCGAGCGTGCACGTGAGAGTGAGTGTGCGTGTCTAAGAGCGTGCACGAGTGTGAGTGTGCACGTGACTGACCCCATCGCCACGGAGACGCTTCCAGTCACAGTGACCGATCGGAGCTCCATTCATTAAAGACTGTACGACTGTACGCTCTCCCTCCATCCCTCCCTCTCTCTCTCTCTTTCTTCCCCCTCTCACACACTGCTCTACCTCTTCTCTCTGTCTATGCCCCTCACTTTCTCTTCCCTTTGCTCCCTCTCTCTTCCCGACTCTCTTTTCCTCTTTCTCCCTTTTCTTCCTCTCCCTCTCCCTCCCTCACTCTCTCCCAAACTTTCTATCTCTTTTCTCCTCCTCCCTCTCAAACCCCTCACTCTCTCCCAAACTTTCTCTCTCTTTTCCTCCTTCTTCTCCCACCCTCACTCTCTCCCAGTCTTACGCTCTCTCTTCTCCTCCTCCTCTCTCTTTCTCGCTCCTCCTCCCCCTCTCTCCCCCACTCTCTCTGCCAGGCTCACTCTCTCTACTGACCTCCTTTCTCTCCTTCCCTCTCTCCCAGTCTCTCTCTCTCTTCTCCTCCTTTCTCTCTCTCCCTCTTGCTCAGTCTTTCTTTCCCCTCCTCCCTCTCCCTCTCCCTCTCTCTCTCGGGCCGTGGGCAGACTTGTGTGTGGAGGGATAATGATTAGAATGGGTAGAGATGACGAGGAGGAAGGAGAGGAGGAAGAGGAGGGAGAGAGAAGGAGGAGAGGAAGAGGAGCAAAAGGAGGAGGAAGAGTGCAAGCGTTTCCCCGGCAGCGCGTGACGGTCAGAGCTGCACGCGACGGGAGCTTAGCAGCGACAGCAGCACAAGACGCTAATGATCAGTGTGGGTGTGTGTGTGTGTGTGTGTGTGGGTGTGTGTGTGTTTTATTTTATTTTATATCTCTGAGCTGAGCAAACTGATAAAAATCAAAGTGTATGAAGAAGTGGAGTAAGTGTGACGACGCCCACAGAGTTCAGCTCTAGTCAAATGAAGCTCATTGAGGCTGGAGTTTACAGTGAATTTGGACATAGACTCTGTAAAAGGAATACACATTTTTTTCAACGGACAGAATAACAAAATAAAAACACCAGCGTCATGTAGATCATGTCAATATGAACATTTTAAGACCAAAATAACAAGACTCACAGCAGCAGATACACAGATTCCAGTGTCATTTTGTCCCAGTGAGCAACACGAGGACAAACTGCTCTTCATTATGGACACTCCTGCTCATAATACTCCCTACAACTGTACTCACCAATATGTAACAGATAATACTGAACAGGCTCAAAATAAGTTTCCTCTGCAGGGTGGCTGGGCGCTCACTTAGACAGAGGGTGAGGAGTTCCGTCATACAAGAGGAACTCTGAGTAGAGCCGCTGCTCCTCCACGTCAAGAGGAGCCAGTTGCGGTGGCTCGGGCGTCTGTTCTGGATGCCTCCTGGACACCTCCCCTTAGGAAGTGTTCTGGGCGTGTCCCACCGGGAGCAGGCCGCGGGGAAGACCCAGGACACTGGAGGGACTATGTCTCTGGGCTGGCCTGGGAACACCTCGGGGTTCTCCCGGAGGAGCTAGAGGAAATGTCTGGGGTGAAGGAAGTCTGGGAGGCCCTGCTTAGACTGCTGTCCCCGTGACCCCGCCCCGGATAAGAGGAAGAAAATGGATGGATGGATAATACTCCCTACAACTGTACAACAACTCACTCTGTCACAGATAACCCTGTGTCCTGTCAATCATCAGATCATTGTTGCACTGTCTTCCTGTGTCATCTTGTATAAAGCTGAGATTTTATATTTCATTACTTATCTTTCTCTTTTATTTGGACTTGTACATTTACATGTATATAATTATGTTTTATTTGACTCACGTCACTTGCACTTTTTTGTTACTTATTTAGAATGTATTATGTCCATTTATATTTTTTCTCTTTGTTATTCTATTATATTATGATGTGTGATCGAATGTGTCCAAATCATTTCCCCTGTGGATCAATAAAGTTTGTCAAAGTGTAAGTCTAAGTAAGTGAACGGGCAGCAGGATCAGAAGGAGCTTGTTCCTCACTTTCTTGCTTTTATTCAGCTGGTGATCTTGTTGTTAAATCTGCCTCCTCTGGTCTGTGTGGGGGTCGTCGGGGTGGATTTGTGCTGTGCCTCTCAGAGCAGAGACCACGTGTTCACCACAAAACTACACATCTACTGAGGGAAAAGGACCAAGAGCAGCACCTCCACCTGGGAACCTCTTCACAGATCTAACCAGCATCTAGAAAGTTCCACAGTGCATCTTTAACAGTAAAAGTCTCACCACGTCGCTGGGCAGGTGGTGCAGGTCGTCGAAGGGGGTCTCCAGGGCGTTGGTGTCCACGTTCAGAATGACCACGTCCTCCAGAGACCGGCTACGGACTCTCTGTCAAACACAAAAACAACACAAGAAGAGTGAAAACAAGCACCACACTCACAGCAGCAGGGTACAGGGCTCATAACAGATAATACTCCCTACAACTGTACAAGTCACCCTTATGTACCAGATAATACTCCCTACAACTGTACAACAACTCCCCCTTATGTAACAGATAATACTCCCTACAACTGTACAACAACTCACCTTTATGTAACAGATAATACTCCCTACAACTGTACAAGTCACCCTTATGTAACAGATAATACTCCCTACAACTGTACAACAACTCCCCCTTATGTAACAGATAATACTCCCTACAACTGTACAACAACTCCCCCTTATGTAACAGATAATACTCCCTACAACTGTACAACAACTCACCTTTATGTAACAGATAATACTCCCTACAACTGTACAACAACTCAACCTTATGGAACAGATAATACTCCCTACAACTGTACAAGTCACCCTTATGTACCAGATAATACTCCCTACAACTGTACAACAACTCACGCTTATGTAACAGATAATACTCCCTACAACTGCACAACAACTCATGCTTATGAAACAGATAATACTCCCTACAACTGTACAACAACTCACCTTTATGTAACAGATAATACTCCCTACAACTGTACAGCAACTCACCCTTATGTACCAGATAATACTCCCTACAACTGCACAACAACTCACGCTTATGTAACAGATAATACTCCCTACAACTGCACAACAACTCACGCTTATGTAACAGATAATACTCCCTACAACTGCACAACAACTCACGCTTATGTAACAGATAATACTCCCTACAACTGCACAACAACTCATGCTTATGTAACAGATAATACTCCCTACAACTGCACAACAACTCACCTTTATGTAACAGATAATACTCCCTACAACTGTACAGCAACTCACCCTTATATACCAGATAATACTCCCTACAACTGTACAACAACTCACGCTTATGTAACAGATAATACTCCCTACAACTGCACAACAACTCATGCTTATGTAACAGATAATACTCCCTACAACTGCACAACAACTCATGCTTATGTAACAGATAATACTCCCTACAACTGTACAACAACTCCCCCTTATGTAACAGATAATACTCCCTACAACTGTACAACAACTCCCCCTTATGTAACAGATAATACTCCCTACAACTGTACAACAACTCACCCTTATGTAACAGATAATACTCCCTACAACTGTACAACAACTCACCCTTATGTAACAGATAATACTCCCTACAACTGTACAACAAACTCACCTTATGTAACAGATAATACTCCCTACAACTGTACAACAACTCACCCTTATGTAACAGATAATACTCCCTACAACTGTACAACAACTCACCCTTATGTAACAGATAATACTCCCTACAACTGTACAACAACTCCCCTTATGTAACAGATAATACTCCCTACAACTGTACAACAACTCCCCCTTATGTAACAGATAATACTCCCTACAACTGTACAACAACTCACCCTTATGTAACAGATAATACTCCCTACAACTGTACAACAACTCACCTTATGTAAACAGATAATACTCCCTACAACTGTACAACAACTCACCCCTTATGTAACAGATAATACTCCCTACAACTGTACAACAACTCACCCTTATGTAACAGATAATACTCCCTACGAACTGTACAACAACTCACCCTTATGTAACAGATAATACTCCCTACAACTGTACAACAACTCCCCTTATGTAACAGATAATACTCCCTACACTGTACAACAACTCACCCTTATGTAACAGATAATACTCCCTACGACTGTACAACAACTACCATAGTGTTGCTGATGTTTGGTGGTTATGATGTGAGCAGCTCAGAGTCACACACACACACACACACACACACACACACACACACACACACACACGAGGAGCGCGGCGGCTTCATAATCACTCACAAAAACACAAAGTCGGTTCATGCCTCCCTGAACTCGAGGAGAAGCAAATCACAGCGAAAATCGAGCACATTGTCCTGTAGTGTGCTGCGGCCTTTAGTCTAAATCTAAATCTGAACAACTTTCACATACAGGAGGCCTTTTATATTATAATTCACTGTATTTCAGAGTTTTCTTGACTCACTTTGGTGTTAAAATAAATCACCTTTTTCGTGCTAAATAAAAGTGAAAGTCAAAAGTGTGGCTGCTCTCACTTCCTGCTCAGGTGTCTTATTACATTTCATATCAACAATTTACAAATACTAAACGTGACAATAGAAGCTGCTAAAAATTCATTTGCAGACGGCTCCTCTGTTACTATCAGGCCCTCTCATTTACAGCTGCGCTTCTAAAATTAAAAAACTAAATAATTAATGTAAGAAAGCTCATTATGTTTTAAAATTTTAGCAGTTTTCTAAAATCCATTTGGGGTGTGGATGTGGCTCGTCGGCTAAGAACCTTTTTTGAGCTGATAACGTCTTTAAAATACACGTGAATAGCTAATAAAACCTTTTGACAAATACACAAATACAAATACATGTTAAAGACGCACTAGGGAACTTTTCTGGCAACCTGCTTGCTTCTATATTTTGGAAATGCCTGGAATACTCCACAGAAAAAAGAAAGACAAAGAGAAAGTGAAGAGAGAGTGTTGACAATAAAAAAGAAACAATAAAATATAAAAAAAAACGAAAAAAAAAAAAAACTGAAGCTCATTAAAATGGATTCAATATTAGCAATAAAGTTAAGATAATAAAAAAAATGGTAGCACTCCAAATTGACTTTTACTGACACACTGTTTTCACGTTTTAGCGATTTGATTCTAACTGTTTTAGAGCACGATTGATTTGGAAAGCTGCTGTAAATGAGAGAACGTTAATTATAAACTGACAATCATTAATCATAATAGGATCTGACAGAAGCTCCTGCAAATGAACTCTCAGCTGCTAAAACTTCTGTCACGTCTGAATATACGGAAATTTCTGAAACGAAAACTATGAAACACCTGAACCACGGTAAGAGCTAACCACTCCACTCATGTCATTTAACACACACGGAGATTTCTTAAAGGATGATCTGTGGAGAGGCGAGCGGCACAAATGCATGTTTTCTGTGGTATTTATGAGCACTGAAATCACAGATAACTGAACATAGACTAGACAGACTATTTTAATGCTTTACTGTGGAACATCTCAATAGAGAAAAGTAGAAGATGGTTCATCGCTCAGTGTTCGCCCGGTGTTCGCCTGGTGTTCGCTCGGTGTTTGCATGGTGTTTGCTCGATGTTCGCTAGGTATTTGCTCAGTGTTCACTCTGTGTTTGCTCGGTGTTCGCTCAGTGTTCGCTCAGTATTTGCTCAGTGTTCACTCTGTGTTCGCTCGGTGTTCGCTCGGTGTTCGCTCGGTGTTCGTTCGTTCGCGGTTCGCCTCGGTGTTCGCTCGGTGTTCGTTCGGTGTTCGTTCGGTGTTCGTTCGGTGTTCGCTCGGTGTTCGCTCGGTCGGTGTTCATTTTGCTCAGTGTTCACTCTGTGTTCGCTGTCGTGTTCGCTCGGTGTTCGTTCGGTGTTCGCTCGGTGTTCGTTCGGTGTTCGTTCGTGTTCGGGTGTTCGTTCGGTGTTCGCTCGGTGTTCGCTCGGTGTCCTCTCTGTGTCAGATCTGTGTCAGCTCTGTGTTTGCTCGGTATTCACTTGGTGTTCTCTCATCAAATCTAACAACACTTAGCATAGTTATTTCCTGACAAGCTCCAGCTGCATTGGCATTAGCAGCAGACACACAGAGAGTGTGAAATATACACTGAACACATCTCATATGGAAGGAAAATGAACACAACACAATATGCAAATGTTTAAACCTAAAGATGTCAGAGTTTTGATGAGGCCTATATACAGTACATATATTTGCACTTGTAAATTAGTCGATTTAAGTGTACACAGCCTGTGCTCTTTAAAAACTCAACTAGAATCAAATCTGTGTCTCCAGAGTCTTCACCTGCAGACAGAGACACGTCCTGCATTTGTCTCATCCTCAGTTTATGTTCATGTCTCATGTGAAGCTCAGAACCTCCAGAATTCCCTCCCTGAGCGGCACAGGCTGCACTAGCACTGACTCATGATGGTGCAGGTGCTGGGGTTTAGAGAGAGACTGTTCAGATCAGAGAGAGGGATTTTGGACACATTTTAAACACACTGGATTTCAGCATTGCACCAGCAACCCAAATGAGAGAGTCATGTGAAACTCATTCTGCTTTCTCACTGAATAATCATCCAAACCAAATTATATATTTAAAAAAAATCATCATGTCAACAGTAGCTCAGTTGGTGTTTGTGTTTGTCTGTTGATCTGGAGGTTGGCAGTTCAAGTCCCGTTCCTGACATAAAGACATCATTGGTTGAGGGGTTAGATCCACAGACCCACAGGCTGGTGATTCGAGTCCCTCTCCCACAGATGTGCACTATTGTTGTGTTCTTGGGCAAGACACTGAACCCCCTTCACTTGTCTGTGTACACTGGTGTATGACGTATGAAAATGGAGAAGCTCTATATAAAAATGTGACCATTCTCCACGTCCAGTGTTTTTGTGATTAAACATAAACCAGCATCACAATTGTTATCAGTAAAACCTGGGTTTGATTTGAACATGTTTACCTCATATCAGGGCGCACATTTCAAATTCATGAAATTTTAAAATACAAATTCTACACACTCTTTAACATTTATATTTATTTACAGACAGTACACTCTTACCTCCAGCAGACTGAGGTGAACTCCCACGAAGTACGGCATGGGGGCGCTGTGGAGGCACACGAGACACTTTAAATTAGACCACAACAAAACATTATAACATTATTATTATTATGCACTTCAGAATAGAGTTTTAGAATTCCAGTATCAAATAACAAATACACTGTAAAGCAGGCATCTTATTATTATAAAGGTGCACTGTGTAACTTTTTTGCTGGAGTGTGTGCCCTCTACTCATCTCCTTGGAGATGTTATCGCTTTGCCTGGAATGTTCCCCAGTATTTCATTGAATTTAACAACACTAAAGGTGCACTGTGTAATTTTCTGGTTGGGGGTCCGTCACCTGCTTGTTTCTATAGAGACCTGTTTCTGTTGCTCTGTCTGGAATGTTCCACAGTGTGGCATTAAACAGCTCTACTTTACATTTATTCAATTATAAGTGGTTTTATAGCTCAAAATACCTAGAAAAACAGACATTCTGACTGTGAGCGGGGTCGCCTTTCCACAGATCTGACCTGTAACTTGGTTTGGTTTGGTCTCCATGAAGATAGACAGGTTTAATTTGATACTGTGAAACATTCCAGACAAAACAATAACATCTCTATAGAGCAAAAGCATTTGATGGACCCTCCACCAGAAAAGTTCCACAATGCACCTTGCACCAGTTAAATGTGTTTTCATTTCTAACATAACATCTTGAAAAACATGCATTCTTATTGTGAACTGTCTCACCTCTCCACAGATCTGACCTGTAACTTGGCCATATTAGTCTATGTGCTCTCAAGATCATTCAGAAAAGGTTAATTTTGAATTTTTTTTAGAATCAATACCAGCGATATTAGTTTTAGTATCGATTAGAATTTGATTTTCGATACTTTTGACAACCCTTATCCTAAACATGCAAATCCATGTATCATTTGTTCATTTTTTTTTTTCAATATAAAACCAAAAATAAGAAAATGAAAAAAGAAAAGTTTCTTCATTATTTATCTCCAAAACCAAAATGAAAAAAACAGATAATGATTTGTGTCTAGTTTTCGATTTTGTGTTTAAATGAAGAATGGGAAAAAAGTGATAACGGCTGTTTCCCGATTACGTGACTGTGATGCCGGATTTTTGCGCTGCATACTGACTGAACCAGGACTGATCCAGGTCCAGGACCAGACCGGGACCAGAGCAGGACCAGAGCAGGACCAGACCGGGACCAGAGCAGGACCAGAGCAGGACCAGAGCAGGACCAGAGCGAGGCCAGAGCAGGACCAGAGCAGGACCAGAGCAGGACCAGAGCAGGACCAGAGCAGGACCAGACCGGCACCAGAGCAGGACCAGAGCAGGACCAACCAGAGCGAGGCCAGAGCGGGACCAGAGCGGGACCAGAGCGGGACCAGAGCGGGCCAGAGCGGGACCAGAGCGGGACCAGAGCAGGACCAGAGCGGACTCCAAGCTTTGACTCCGAGCCTCCGCGGATTTCGAGCCTCAGCTTTGCGCTCCGGCCCTGCCTTGGGCTCTGAGCCTCCGGTCTGGTCCCAGTCTGGTCCCAGTCTCAGTCCCACTCTGGTCTCGGTCTGGTCTCGGTCTCAGTCCTGGTCTGGTCTTGGTCTGGTCCTGGTCTGGTCCCGGTCTCAGTCCCACTATGGTCCCGGTCTGGTCTTGGTCTCAGTCCTGGTCTGGTCTTGGTCTGGTCCCGGTCTGGTTCCGGCCTGGTCCTGGTCTGGTCCTGGTCTCAGTCCAACTTTGGTCCTGTTCTGGTCTCAGTCCTGGTCTGGTCCTGTTCTGGTCTCGGTCTCAGTCCTGGTCTGGTCCTGTTCTGGTCTCGGTCTCAGTCCTGGTCTGGTCCTGTTCTGGTCTCGGTCTCAGTCCTGATCTGGTCCTGTTCTGGTCTCGGTCTGGTCCTGGTCTGGTCCTGGTCTCAGTCCCACTCTGGTCCCGGTCTGGTCTCGGTCTCAGTCCCGGTCTGGTCCCGGTCTGGTTCCGGTCTGGTAACGGACCTGGTTCAGTCATGTAAACGGGAAACGGTCTTTATCTGTTTTTTTCCATTTTTCATTTAAACACAAAAATCGAAAACTGAAAAAATGAATTATTATCTGTTTTTTCATTTTGGTTTTTAGAGACAAATAATGAAGAAAACAGTTGTTTTTTTCTTTTTCTTATTTTTGGTTTTATATTGAAAAACGAATGAACGAATGATACACAGACTCATGCAGGTGTTGTTCTCTAGAAAAGTTACGCAGTGCATCTTTTCATCTCAGTTTAGCTATAACACCAATAGAAATGCAGTCTTCTGTGAGCTTTTAGAAGATAAGTGTTGAAAATACATACATTTAAACTCCCCATTAAAAACAATATTATTTTGTGTTTAAAGTATTCCCCTGAAGATATCGCCCAGAGGATTCCTGTGGTCTATAAGTGAGACATAAAACATAATAAAACATATAGAGCTAAAGTCTAGTCATTAAAACCCAATAGAAGAAAGTGTGTGTTTGTGGTTTAAGCCTTTGAAAACAATGGGAAAGCTGCAGATGAAATGCACTGAGATGGTCCCAGGACAGAGCAGAGGGATTCTGTGAGCAAAGCTGTTCTAATTATCTCCTACAATGCTTCATAAAGACAATTAAGAACGAGAGAGGGAAGGAGAGTTCTGCTGACGAGACCAAAGAGGGCCCCAATAATTCACTGAGAGTCGAGAGAAAAAGGTGTTTGGAACAGAGGATATGTATTACTGATTTTCACGACTTAGTGTATCTTATTTTTATTTTTATATCTTATCTGTTGGTCTTATTCCACCAGTTTTTGCTTTTAAATGCTACTAAGACAAAAATGTTTTCTTTGTGGTGGCACTTCTGGTAACTCCTTATTTCAGTGGAGAATTTGAGAAAAGTTTTGCAGCTAAAATATGAAATAAAGTTGGATGATTTGTGAAATGTTCAATGTTTATGTGACCAGCAAGTCCCAACCACGATTCTTTGGGGGCTTTAAAAAAGCTTTGAAATCTGTACAGAGCAGGGGTATCCAAACTTTTTTTCATCAAGGGCCACATTTCTAAACACAGACAAAGCAGAGGGCCAATTGAGGGCCGGAGACTGGTGCTCATTATAGTGAATAACTGAAATATGTGCATGTTTAACACATTAGAATGAACCATCAGTCTTTATTCATGCTAAAATCCTCAGACCACACACTAAATATTAAACTGGCTTTTTCAAGGTAGATTTTCAAAAAAACTTGCAATAAAAAGCAGATTTTTTAATTAATGCAAGGTCATTTGGGCCAATTCTCCTGGAAGCCTGAGGGCCAAGAAAAATTTGGTCCGCATTTGGCCCACGGACCATAGTTTGGATTTGCCTGTTACAGAGTTTAAATTGTCCTTGGAGGTTGAATTTCTACTCGGAAACTCAGAGAACATTTCAGAGTCTGAATTAGGAAACGTGGTTCCACACTGTGTTTAGATAATAAACTTGAATATAATCCAACAGTTCGAATATTGATTCTACTTGTGTTATTTTCTCTTTACAGTTTCCCGTCACACTGGTTGAGCATTTGCAGATGTAAATATGCTGTTATGCTCTGTTATGCTTGACCACTAGAACAAGCATCCAATATGGAACTCAGAGATTATGTCATTTGAAGACCTGAGTTCTGACCTCCGTGGGCAACGGGAAGGCAGCATTATTTACTTGTTTTGATCGGCAGCTCCATGCAAAATAATACGAGCCCAATGATGATGAACTTCTGGAATAAGATCAATAAAATAAATATGTAGAAATACTATACATGACCTCTGGTCATGAGCTCTGGGTAGTGACCGAAAGGACGAGATTGAGGATACAAGCGCTCGAAGTGAGTTTCCTTCGCAGGGTGGCTGGGCGCTCCCTTAGAGATAGGGTGAGGAGCTCAGTCACGTGGGAGGAGCTTGAAGTAGAGCCGCTGCTCCTCCACATCGAGAGGAGCCAGTTGAGGTGGCTCGGGCATCTGTTCTGGATGCCTCCTGGGCGCCTCCCTCAGGAGGTGTTCCGGGCATGTCCCACCGGGAGGAGGCCCCGGGGAAGACCCAGGACACGCTGGAGGGACTATGTCTCTGGGCTGGCCTGGGAACACCTCGGGGTCCCCCAGAGGAGCTGGAGGACGTGTCTGGGGTGAAGGAAGTCTGGAAGTCCCTGCTTAGAGTGCTGACCCCGCCACCCGGCCCCGGATAAGAGGAAGAAAAAGGATGGATGGATACTATACATATTATGGACATTTATTCAGTTTTATCCATGTTATAACAGTGTTCCTTCATCATTATCTTATTCAGAGTTGTAGTTTGCTGTATTGCTCTTCATTTGAGGCTTTTTTTTACCCCCTAAAATTGAACTTTTCTACCCCCTATCTCCACCCACTTCTCTGTATTTACTGGAGATCATAAAAAAATATCAGACTCCAGGTCACCAGAAAAGTTACACAATGCACCTTTGAGTATTCAGTTAAATGTGTTTTAATTTCTAACATAATACCTTGAAAAACACACATTCTTATTGTGAAGTGGCTCACCTCTCCACAGATCTGACCTGTAACTTGGCCATAGCGGTCCATGTGTGTATACTAGTCTATATGTCTTCTACTTGTTCTGATGCAGCTCAGCATCATTCTAAAGACGTTCAGGAAAGGATCATTTCTGTCCTGTCAATGGGACTTTTAGTATCAACACCTGCGAACAATGAGGACCTAGTTTTTTTTTGTATTATTATTGATTAGAATTAGACTTTAGATACTTTTGACAACCCTAAAACCTAAACATGAAGTTATGCAGTGCAGCTTTATTTGCATTGCTCTGCATTTGAGGCTTGAGTGCTCCAAAAGTTATATTTTTTACCCCCTATCTCCACCCCCTTCTCTGTGTTTACTTGAGATCATAAAAAAGATCAGACTCCAGGTCGTGCAGGTAAGGTTCAAAAAATGTCACAGTCTAATAAAAGACTAACAGCACAAATCATCTCATCTGCTGTAGTTCCAGTTTAGTCTGTACAGTTAGTGGATCAGTTTGTGTTAGTAAAGATCAGATTAAAGTGGGTC